TTCGACTGCTCACAAGTAAAACAGCGCAAGTAAGTCTCCAACACACGATTCAATACCTCCGTTTGGCCATCCGTTTCCTGGTGAAAAGCCGAACTAAATTTCAGTTGTGTTCCTGAAAGTGCAAACAGTTCCTTCCAGAACGCAGAGATAAACAAGGAATCACGATCACTGACAATAGATCGTGGAATGCCATGCAACCGAACGACGTCTTTAGAAACATCCTCTGCCACTAAACGTGCCGTAATAGGAGCCTTAAGAGCTATAAAATGTCCATACTTGCACAGCCTGTCCACTACCACGAGAACCGTTGTATACCCCTTCGATTTTGGCAAACAAGTAATGAAGTCCATTGAGATATTTTCCCAAATCAGATCTGGAATGGGTAGTGGTTGCAACAATCCTGCTGGTGACATAGCTTTGTACTTGTTCTTCTGGCAAACCAAACACTGTGCCACATAGTCTTGCACACGGCGAAACATCTCCCTCCAGAATACATTCATGGCCAGCCTTCTATAGGTGTGGTAAGCCCCAGCATGCCCTCCTGTCGGTGTGTCATGAAATTCCTTCAACAACATAGGAATCCACTTGGAATCTGAAGCCAACACTAAACGGTCTTTGTAAAACAACCGTCATCCAATCAGTTCATAGCCTGGCTTACAAGTTGGATCTCTAACCAGGGTTGAACAGTCCCTTGCAAGAATTTGTCCCTTTTTTGCTCTTCCTCCACATCCGCCATTCCTAGCCATTCAGGGCTGCTGATTGCGGCCAGTGCAGCTTCCTCCCCCCTCCTCGATAGAGCGTCAGCCGCTCCATTGGAGATGCCTGTCTTGTACTCAATCACAAAATCATACCCCAATAACTTCGCCACCCAAACTTGTTGTGCTGGAGTTGCTATTCGCTGAGTGAGCAAGTGCTTGAGGCTGCGATGATCCGTACGAACCACAAACTGCCATCCAATCAAATACGGTCGCCAGTGGTGAACGGCTAAGGCCAGCCCCATCATTTCCCCTTCATAAGCTGATTTGGAAAGGGTTTTATCTGCCAAGGATTTGTTGAAATATGCAATGGGCCGTCGTTCCTGCATGAGCACCGCCCGAATGCCAGTACCGGATGCATCACACTCGACCACAAATGGTTGATCAAATCGAGGATAGGCTAATAGGGGTGCCTCAGTCAGTGCCTTTTTAAGGCGCTGAAATGCCTCCTCGGCCTCGGGAGGCCACACAAAATGGGCTGGTGCATCCTTCTTCAGAAGAGTCGTGAGTGGTTGTGCAATAAGACCGTACTCCTTCACAAACCGCCTGTAATATCCGGTCAGCCCTAAAAATCCCCGAACTTCTCGGACTGAGCGAGGTTGCGACCAACTCACTACTGCGCTGACTTTTTCCGGGTCCATAGCCACCCCGGCCTTTGAAATAATGTGTCCCAAGTACTCAATCTCCAGGCACCCAAATGCACATTTCTTCTTGTTGGCTTTAAACTGATTCTTTTCCAGGATGATCAGAACCAATTCCAAGTGTTTCCTGTGTTCTGCCCATGACCGACTGTAAACCAAAATGTCATCAAAGAAGACCAGGACAAATCTGCGCAAATAGGGTCGAAACAAGTCATTCATTGCGGATTGGAACGTTGCTGGCGCATTCGTCAATCCGAATGGCATGACTAAGAACTCATAATGCCCGCTATGTGTACGGAAAGCGGTCTTGTGTACATCTGTTTCAGCCACCCTTATCTGATGGTAGCCCGAGCGCAAATCTATCTTGGAAAACACCACTGCGCCGGCCAGCTCATCAAGCATCTCCTGTATTACCGGAATTGGATATTTATCCGGCACTGTGGACTTATTCAACTCCCGATAGTCCACGCAGAATCGCCAGCTTCCATCTTTCTTTTTAACCAAAAGAACCGGGCTCGAGAATGGGCTCAAACTGGGCCGAATGATACCTGCCCATAGCATTTCGTCAACTAATTTTTCAATCTCATTTTTCTGCAAGTGTCCATATCTATATGGTCGAACTGACACTAGCTTTGATCCGGGCATCAACTATATTCGGTGGTCTGTCGTGCGACGAGGGGGCAGCCCTCGCAACTCCTCAAACACCTCCGCATGTTGCTTGAGAATATCCTCCACTGCCCCAGTAGCTTGCTGCCCGCCCCTGTCATCCACGCCGCCAGGGATTGCTCCAGGAAGTTTGACAGTGTTATAGACTAGAAGTATCGCCCAAATTTCTGCGTCAGTGGTCTTCAAAAGGGTTTGAAGGCTAACCGCATTCCTGCTCATCGCAGGATCACCCCGTAGCTCTACTTGCTTGCCCCCAATCTCGAAATTCATGGTTAATTTTCTCCAATCTGTCCAGACTTCTCCCAATGTCGCCAGCCAATCCACGCCCAGAATGAGATCGACCCCCACCAAAGCAAACACGTAACAATCTGCGGTGATAGCACACCCCGGTAACACGATGGGAAGTTGTCTACACACCCCTTCCGATTCTTGTCTATGCCCATCTCCCAATTGCACCCCAAATCTGCCTGTCCTGTCCGGGATCAATTGTAAAAAAGAGACCAGGGACGAAGAAATAAAGTTGTGGCTTGCGCCACTGTCTATCAAAATAGCCACGGTACAGCCCGACACTACCCCTGAAGCCTCATCGTTCTCGGGCTGAAAATTCCAGCCATAGAATAGACTGGAAAATCTCCTTCACCTCCCTCTAATCCATCTTGATCCTCTGGAACATCTTCTTGTCCGGTTATCTCGCAGTAGTCATGTTGTTGAAGGTCCAACTCCTCGTCCTCTTCTGCTAACAACACTCGTAACTGCTTTAACGGGCAGTCATGCCCCGGGGTAAATGGTTTCTTGCATTTAAAGCAAAACCCCTTTGCTCTCAATTCTTCTAATACTCTTGGTGGAAGCCGAGTGAACTTGGAACGTGACGTAGACTGCCCCGACAGCCCTGATTGGGTCCCAATGACTTGTCCAGGCGCCTTAAGCAAACTGCTACTAGATCCCTTAATGCTGCCACCACTTGTGGCCGTACTGCTACCCCCACTTGGTCGAGGATAACCCCCCGAACATGTCCCTGCATTGTTGTATGGCTGACTCCCACGCCCTCCACTTTGATAGGACAGATTGTCCTCTATGTCTCTGGCTAGTTCCATTGTTGTCTCCAAGTTGTTCGGGCGCATCAACCGTAACGAACCCCGAATCGGCCCCTTCAATCCATTCATAAAATACCCCAGGTAATGCTCGTCAGACAACCTTGGGACCTGACTCGCCAACTGGACAAAGATCGAGGTATACTCCTCCACCGTCCCTGTCTGCTTGACCCCAGACAATCGCTCGAAACGACTGCCCGTAAACCGCGTGTCAAACCTCGCCACCAGTGCCTGTGTGAACTCTTCCCACATCATGCTAGGCTTCCGCATCCTTAACCACGTTACCCAGTACAAGGCTGCTCCTTCCATGGCAACTACAGCCGCTGGTACCTTCCTCTCTGGCGGCGTACCACTCAATTCAAATTGTTGCCCAGCCCTAGCAATCCAACCAATGGGATCCTCCCCGTCAAACGAAGGAAACGACGCCTCCTACGTGCCTCGCGGACGTCGCCCAGAAACGGCGAAGCCTCCCTGGTCTTCGAAGTCGCCGCCGCTGCTGAAGGTGGCTGCCGCCGAAGGCCCGGACGACGTTGTCGCCTTCCCTCCAGTTGCGCCCGCCGTCGTGAGCGCAGCCAGGGCGGCTGCGATCTCACCCAATTGCGCACTCAGCGCATCCAGTTTCTGGTTCATCGAGGCCTGTTCGACCTCCACCTCCGTCAAACGCTCGGTGTTAGATCTAGTCATTCCGGCGGAAACGGGATCCAGCAGGTCGGACCAATTGATGAATACAGAAATTCGACACTGAATATTCTTGATGGCCGACTTCGCTGAACCCTAATTAAGGATATAAATACCCTAATTACGGAATACATAATCCTTATTAAAATACTCCCCAGGCCCAATAAAGAAACAACATAATAATTAATAAATTAAAAGTTTATTAAAAAGAAACCCAGCCCACGGAGGTGGGCTCAAGCCCGTCCCCGCCTTCGGTAGACCAGCAATGGTCTCGGTCTCTCCTCCAATTCAAATTGCTGCTCCCTATCACTAACTCCTTGGAAATGCCAACAATCTAAAACCCTACTTACGTCTCAAAGAGCTCGTTTACTGACCTTGTTTTTCGGCTTATCAACATTATCAGCCAACTTTTCACCAAACACGTAACTTTTGGTTTCGCACACTGAATTATATAATACTCCCTTCGGTTCCAAAAGATCTTGAAACTTTGACTTCACAATTTTTAAGGAAATAAACATTGTTTGACACTGTTTGACACTGTTTGACACTATTTGGCACTGTGTGGCACTGTTTTGTGTAGATTTATTTGTCAAATAAGGCAAATAAGGAAGTGTAAAGATCTTTCTGGTACTGCTAAAAATGGAAAGTGTAAAGATCTTTCAGAACCGGAGTAGGGGTGGACTCGGGCCGGGCCAACCGGCCCGGAACCGAACCGGCCCGCTACTGTGCAGGCCCGGCCCGGCCCGGTGAACCGGTTTCGGGCCCGGTTCGGGCCAATCGGCCTGGTGGGATGGCGGTTCAGGCTCGGGCCCTTCAAAAGGTGAACCGGCCCGGCCGGTTCGGGCCCGGGCCGGGCCTTTTTTTTTTTAATTTTTTTTAAGTTTTTGGGTTGGGTTGGGTATTTTGGGCCATTTGAGGTGGTTAGGGTTGGTTTGGGGTTAGGGGGAGGGTTGGGTGTTAACTAGGAAAAGCCAAAAAAAAAAAATAGAACCGAGGCCCGGCCCGGACCCAGGGGTTACCTGGGCCGGTTCCGGGCCTCCCCTTCTTGAACCGAGACCCGGCCGGGCCCGAACCGGAACCGGTCCATGCCTAATCCGGAGGGAGTATTAAGAAAAGGTAAGATTTGAATTATTTTTCTAGCTGTATTGGTTGGAGTTACTGTAGAAGATCATTTTAGCTATTTTTCATATAATTTTTTCTTTATTTAATTAATAAAATATATTTTAAATATAATTTTTTTTGTAAATAAGCAGAATCGGTCAATCCAGCCACATCAACCAGAACTTTATAAATTTCAACCGATTTGGGTATCACCAAACGGGCTCCTTATCTGCCATCTTCTAAAGTGACCTACCATATGCCCTAGAAATGCTGCAGTTAATGGTGAGTCTGGTGACCCTCTCTCCCTACCCCCATTTCCTCCTGCACAGGCCACAGCCATCATGTCTTCACTATCCAAAGACCGCTTGTGGAGTTGATGAATGAATTCCATACCCTCAAACATTCTGGTAAACAATGTGAATGGTTAAGTACCCATTTGTTAAGCGTTATGACATGTTCTCTTTGCCTGAAAAAGTGTGATATAATCCAAACTGATGTGGAGTGTTCTTATCTAAATGTTTCAGGACTATTAGTGAGTGAATGTTCATGATGTTGCTGAAATTTCTTATCTGAAACATAATATTGGAACTAAACTACTCTAGTCTAACTTTTTTGTGCCTGGTCTGAATGTTTTTTTGTGTGGTCTGGTTATCTAAAATAAGAATAAGTTAATGTAAAAATTGATGAATCTGCAGAACTTCATGAAACAAAAAAACGTCCAGTAACCTCAATTTCAACTAAATAAGTGAGAACTGGCCAGTCTAATACTCTAATACGGAGTAGTATTTATTGATACTGTTTCAGAAAACCTGAAATTAAGAAGAAAATCATGTTCTCATAGAAGTTCATCCACATGACAAAACTAGCCTGATAGACAGTTAAAGACATAATGTCACAGATGACAGTTCAAACTTCTGAGCACAATAAATAATCTAAGCAAAGAAAGAAAGTGCAACCTCGAAAAAATTGTGAAGCCAATGTGCTACCTTAGTCCTTAATGTGAAAATAAAAGGCTCCACAAGCTTCATCCTTAAATTAAGGAAACCAAATAACATTAACCTACATTTATCAGCAGCATCTACCTTGTCGCCTTTATTGGTCACTATTGGCCAGAATGCAGACACCATTCTTCCCGGGGTCCTGAGCAGATGCTTCATTGGAGCAATGGTTCTTCAGAACGGTTGCAATATCAGACTCAGAAGCACCAGCAAGCTTAAACCGCTCAACTGCAGTGTCACGGTTCTTCCCCCAACCTTTCAAGCCCAACTTACACTCAACTTGAGATCGCTCGAAGAGCATATTTCCCCAAAACAAATGTATTTGAGATCTCATCACAGCAGCCTGTTCTGCTGCTTCTTCGGGCGAGATTTCAATTTCAACATCAGAAGGACCACTCCCCTGTTTCTTTCTTCTTCTTACTACTTCATCTTTCTTGTTTCCATTAGGATCCTTCAACTCCTTGGCCCTCTCTTCTTCATGCTTCTCCCACATCTCGGTCGCCACGTTCATTTTTTCCTCAGCGATGTCAAAAAGCTTGAACGTCTCAGTTGGGTCCCACTTTGAGAGGTCTTCCTTCTTAGCCAAAACGAACGACCAGTGGAGCTTAGCCATTTCAAACTGCTGCTGCCCGAGAGCCAGTAAACCCTCATAGAAGTCAGGTTTGATCATAAGGGCCTGCTCATATTTCTCTTTGGCTAAAGAATATTTGTCTCTCACCCAGTCATAAGCAGACTGAAGATGTGAAGTCAACAGTTCCTTTGACCCTGGATCCTCAATGGGTATCCGCTTCCTTGCGGCACACATGTGGACATTTCCCCAGTTGAAAAAAGCCAGTGCAGCCACTTCTTGAAACTTTAATGCCGCTTTGTCAAACAGAGCTTGAGCCTCTTCACTGGTCACTGTCTCCTCAAGTGCTTCTGAACAAAGCTCCATCCCAAGTTCGTGAAGATCTATATGAGCGTCTGGGTCAATCCCTACATGAGTCCGGAACAACTGAGCAAACTCAAATAGCCAATCATCCATCTCTACTTCCTTCATCTCCAGATCTCCCGGCGTTGCAGATTTCACCTTCTCAGTGACATTTTCTGATTTGGCAATGACACTTTCGACAACAGTGTCACTGTCAACAACAACTTCACTGTCAATGGGCTTCTCCTCTTCCTCTTCCAATAAAGGTGGCTCTTGTTCAGAACTCACCTCAACAATATGCAATCTCAGAAGCCCTACAGGGTCAGCAACAACAAAGGACTCCGCTAATCTTAATTCAGATGTGGATGTGATAGTGACTAAATCACCATCACCATCCTTGTACTTGATGAGAACTGACTTTGACATTGGGAAGCGTTTGGCAACAACGTCTCTCAACTCCCTGAGACTGCAATTTTCAGGCATTTGTGCAAGACGTATGTCATGATCATAAACAAGCTTTAGTGGCCTCCAATGGATCACAGCCGGTTTTGACTGCACACGAGTAGTGATTGGCTGTTCCTTTTTGTCATTGTTGATTGGATTTTGATTAGGCTTGGAAGGACTTACTGAAGGCTTTAAGACAACCATAGGCAATGGAACTTTAGATTGAGAGACATTCTCAGTTGTAGGTTGAACTTGATTATGCTTAATATTACTAGGAGGTAGCGCAGAAGTCCCAGTTGAAGTTACTGGCTTCTTGGGTCCTGGTCTAGCAGGCAGACATGGGCCAAGGCCCGCAATTGGAGCTGAACCCACTGCAGATGCACCAAGGGCAGCTGGCGATGGACGGCTCTGAAGATCCTGTTGAGCTTCTTGACGAGGCCCAATAGCCGCACTCAATCGCGCAGCGAAATCTAAAGCATCCTGATGACCGGGTTCAGCTTTCAACAACATCTGCACATCTTGCATCGCCATATCATGCTTTCCAATGCCCTCATAAGCACGGGCTCTGCGGAGAAGGGCCCGGCTGAACTTGGGCTGAACCTGGAGAGCCATCGTGCATTCAGAAATCACGGCGTCATAGTTTACTGGCTTCATCTGCAACAAACAAGCAGCCCTGTTGCTATGAAACACGGCTATGTCAGGGTGTGTTTTGGGGGTCAGTTTTAGGGCATTCTCATATTGCTGAAGAGCACCCACATAGTCCTTGGCCTGAAATCTCTTGTTCCCCTCTTCTTTGAGCTCAAGAGCTCTTTGCAGGAAATCTGATGAGGCTAAGTCAACACTTCCATTAACAACATGTGTTTGGCCATTGCTTCCTCCCGTACCCGGGTTCTGGTTAATACCTGCCCTCTTTTTCCTTCCTGATTTCCCCATATATATCCCTCAACACTATCCAAAGATTCGAACTTTATTGTCTACAAGAAAATGAGTTCAATGTATATCCTTCTGTTGAAGAATGCGTAACTGTTTAAAAAATTAAAACTAAAACTTGGTTTACAGAAACTATGGCGGATACTGGAGATAGTGGAAGATTGACTTACATGTGTCGATATCACAGTCCGGCGCAGAATTGAATTCTTTCTGTCTACGTTATGAACACGGGGACGCTGGATTATGATGAATGAAGGGGTTACCGAAATGGGTCTTTCTGTCTGACTGTCTAGAGAAATGCACCAGTGAGTAGTGATTGAGCTTTGTAAATACGGGGGGATTTGATGTTTGAAACCCTAGATACCAACACCGTATTTGTTGGATTTTAAACGGAAAAAACGTATGTCCCTTCGGGTTCGGGTCTAAGAATTCTTGGACTAATAAATTTGTGTGGTGTCTGGACTTGTCTATCTGATCTTCACTTATTAATACTCTCTCCGTATCAGTTTAAGTGTCTCAGTAGGCTTTTGTTATAATTTAAGGTGTTTTATAGGGTACTGTAGATAAAGTAAATAACACTGCAGCAGAAAAAGGAAAATGCAATGTAGCAAAGAGAGAGACATGGGCTTGCGCAAAACGCCAGCAAAAAAAGGCGGAAACAATGGCGCCCGTTCAAAACTTTGGTGCAAATGAGCCATGGTCAAATTAGGTTTCTATAAATAGAAACATTTACATTCATCTTTTAAAAATCATGACTTAAAAATCTTCATCGTTTTACGGAGGGGTTGGACACCTCTCAGAAAATCTTCATCATCGAGGGTGGAGTGGGACAACGCTCTGAACAAGCTTCATCATCGCGAGTGGGGTGGGGTGGGGTGGGGATCCTCTCAGAATAAGCTTCATCATTGAGGTTTGGGTGGGATGGGATGGAAGTCCTCTCATAATAAGCTTCATCATTGAGGTTGGGGTGGGGTGGGGTGGGACTCCTCTTAGAATAACCTTCATCATCCATGATCTTCGAGTCTTGACTATAATGAAACATTTGCTAGTAGCCAATGGTAACTAAAAGGGTTTCTTGGTTGTTACCGACTTAATGCTTCTAAAAATTGAGAACTTCATTATATTGATGTGCACAATGTGCTCCTACATGGAGATTTGGATGAGGAGGTATACATGCATGTACCTCAAGATATGTCGCTTATGATCCATCCCTTGTATGTCGGCCCCACAAAACACTATACGTCCTAAAAATCCCTGACATTGTTAGTTTGCTAAATTAGTCGAGGCTTTTCAGGGATATGGATTTATTCAGACTTATGTGGATTATTATTTATTCACCTGCACTCGTGGCCCTAAACAATTCAATTTTCCGGTTTATGTGGATGATTTAATCATTTCGAAAAAATGATCATGATGTCATTATATTATTCATTTCAAGTCCTAGGCCTTCTTACATATTTTCTTGGCATCGAGATTCTCGTAGTCCCACAAATTTATTACTTATTAATATCATCTGAAACAAGGCTTCTCGGCAGTAAACCAGCGGATTTCCCTATTGAACTATGGGGCCTCTCCTGGTTGGTCCAAAACCTTACCGGTGACTTCTTTGTCACCTTATTCATTTGGCTGTTATTGATCATCTGAATCTGACATATTCTAATCATATTCTTTTTCAATCTATGCGGGCACCATGTCAAAATCACTGAGATGCTGCTCGTCGTGTGGTGAAATACTTAAAGGGTTCTCCTTGATAAGGCATTCGCCTTCGGGCTGACAGTGATCTTTCTCTCACCGGATTGCGTTGTTCTAATTGGGTTGCTTGATATCCTCTTACCCGGTGCTCTTTATCTAGTTGGTTGGTTTTTCTTGGCTACTCTCTTGTTTCTTAGAAAATCAAAAAGCAATTTATGATTTTTCGTTCTTGTGCGGAATCTAAGTATCGTGCTATGGCCACATGTGAACTCAAATGCCATAAAGCTCTTCTTCTTATTCTCGGGATTAATCACAGCAAAGGCATTCCTCTTTTCTATGACATCCAATCTGTTTTGTACATTGCTCGTAACTCGGGGATGCTATCAATTCAAAGACAACCTCATTGCTCCTAATATATTCCCACTACAATTCAGCTCATGGATATTTTTATCAAGACTCCTAGAAAGACTCAATTTCATTTTCTTATTTCCAAGTTGGGTATCTTAAACACTAATGCTCCAACTTGAAAGGGTATTATGGTAAGTAGATTTTCCAGAATTGGATATTATTACTATATCATATGTATTAGGAATGTATTAATTTCTTTTCTTTTCTTTTCTTGATAGCCTAGTATTTTCCCATAGTATTATATAGTGCCTTATTTTGTTTTTGTACAAAGACAAAATTGAGAAAAATTATTATAATAACGGATGGATTCAGATCTCTACCAATAGATCAAAGTAGTTGTTAAGTAGATTTTTCTGGCCTCTTGAAACGGTATTTGAGAAAATTTCAAAAAAAAATATTTGAAATCACCTTTCACTAATTACTTGAGAAATATTTTTTAAAAACCTGCTTCAACTTAGATACCTTTAAGAAGTTATTATTTGTGAATGATATGTTAGGTGTAATATTGCTTATCGTCTAAGTTTATTTGTTGGTAATTCCCATCATTCCCTTAATAGGGAGATTTTATGGAGTGGAGTCATATCGCAATGTGGCATCACCACAATCATACTTTTATGAACTAGGTTTTCCACTATAATTCCACTAGAGAAATAAATGATTGTAATAAAAAAATTATAGAATCATATAGGATTCTCATCTTATAAGATAGAATCCTACATGATTCTATAATTATAAAGTCACATGAGATGTTGTGGCTTGATCTCCATCTACCATCTTATTTTTTAGTGTGGATCTCCATAAAAATGATAGAGGTTATGTCACAACACCCCATATGACTTCATATTGGAGTCACGTATGACTCTTTAAAAATTCTTGTAAAAGTAAGATCAAAGTATACGAAGACATTTTTTTCAATTTTTCAATTTTATTCTCTATCAATCATAACAAAATAATATTAATCTAAATAAAATAAGTATATTACATTCCACATTCATACACTGTTTTTATTTCTGTAATATTTTTTGTAATATATTGAGAAAAGGGGCAAATAAGCCCTCAAACTAATCGAAAAGTGCAAATCACCCCTTTTATAAGAGGCTCTGTCCGGCCGTCACCATTTGGGATGGTTACCGGTGGAACTTTTTAATGAATGTTTTTTAGCATCTATTTCATTAAGTCTAGTTTACCCATACCAAATTTCAGCTAAAAATGCAATCGTGAAGACAGTCAAATAAATGTTTGAGGATAATTGCGCGGTATACTTCAGAAAATCATTTGACTGCCTTCCCTGTTGAATTTTTAGCTGAAATTTGGTATGGGTAAACTAGACTTAATGAAGAAGATGGTCAAAAAATTGCATCGGGAACCTCCCCAAATGGTGACGTCTGGACAGAGCCTCCTATAAAAGAGGTGATTTGCACTTTTTGGGTTAGTTCAAGGGCTTATTTGCACCTTTTCCCTAATATATTTTTTCATATATATTATGAAAAGAGGCAGGGAAGAGAGGGAGGGGAAGACCCAAACAAATTTGGATTAGAAGAATCAAAACTGATATACGTCTTCTTGGGTTGGATGAGAATATGATTTTGGAGAGAGTAAAATGGAGGGCGTACATCCGTGTGGACGATTGATGTTTTTTCTACCTTTCCTCTCTCTTTTCTTTGATTGTTTATTTTCTTTCTTTTTATATTCTTATGTTATTTTTATTTGTCAGCTTTTTTGTGCTCTTTTCTTTTTATCTTTTATCTTTCTTATATACTTATGTTGTTGTTGTATTTTTCATATTCATACACTTTTTCTTATAATATATTTCTCATCTCTTTTATATAAAATTTGTTTATTTCAATTTACATTTGATAAAGTATGAAATTAAATTTTTATATGTGTGGTTTACATTTCCACAAGTGTACATTATGTTTATAGACAATTTCTGGAGTAACATTTAATAGTATACGAAGTTACATCTTCTTGTGCACGAGTTACATCTTCCAATGCATGGGTTGCATTTTGATTTGCCTCAATAAGTTACATTTTATATACACTTATGTTATATTTTTCATCAACCCGAGTTATATTTTCCATAACACGAATTACATCACAAAATAAACTCATGCTATTGATACAAAAAAAATCATTTTTTTGCAAAAAAAAAATGATTTTTTGGCAATTTTTTTTTGTAAAAGAAAATGAATTTTCTTTCAAACATTTTCATGGCCTTAATATTAAAATAAAACATTTTCACTATTTACATAAATTAATTGACCAATTAAACCCCTTGTTTTCATTGTTTACATTTGATAGTATATGAAGTTATATCTTCTTATGCGCGAGTTATACATTTTTTATGCACGAGTTGCATCTTCTTATGCACGAGTTAGATTTGGATTTGTCCTAACAAGTTACATTTTGCATATACATAAAATAGATTTTCCATCAACGCGGTTTACTTTTTTCATAACACGTGTTACATCACAAAATAAACCTCTGCTATTTAAACAAAAAAATCATTTTTTTGCAAAAAAAATGATTTTTTTGGCAAAAACAAATGATTTTACAAAAAAACAGTTTTATACCCTAAATATTAAAAAAAAAACATATTCACTATATACGTAAAGTATTTGAGCAATTAGACTCCTTGTTTTATTTCTTATACTACGTATTAGACAAATTACATTTCGACTTGTCTGCAGTTACATTTCCTATCAGTGTGAGTTACATTTCTTTACACGCGAGTTACATGATTCTGCTACTGGGACAAGAAGAAAAAAATAGTTATTGTTTACGCATGTACTGTTCACGCGTGTTTTGACTGTGGGAGTAGCATGCTTATCGTGGGCTGCTCCCACGGTAGGGTTGGACTCGGGCCGGGCCAACCGGCCCGGAACCGGACCGGCCCGCTACTGAGTGGGCCCGGACCGGCCCGCTACTGAGTGGGCCCGGACCGGCCCGGTGAACCAGTTGGTTGGCCGGTTCAGGCCACCCGGCCCGGTGGGATGGCGGTTCAGGCTCGGTCCCTTCAAAAGGTGAACCGGCCCGGCCGGTTCGGGCCCGGGCCGGGCCAATTTATTTATTTATTTATTTTGAATTTTTTTTAAGTTTTTAGGTTGGACTGGGTATTTTGGGCCATTTGAGGTGGTTAGGGTTGGTTTGGGGGTTAGGGGGAGGGTTGGGGGTTAACTAGGAAAAGCCAAAAAAAAAAAAATAGAACCGAGGCCCGGACCCGGGGGTTACCCGGGCCGGTTCCGGGCCTCCCCTTCAAGAACCGAGGCCCGGCCGGGCCCGAACCGGAACCGGTCCATCTCTATCCCACGGTATAGCAACTGCTTTACTTAAGGTTCTTATGTCA